TCGCCGGGCGCGTACAGGAAGCTGATGCCGGCGGCTTTCGTCGGCACGCCGGCTGCCCGCTTCCTTTTCATCTGCTGCTTCTTCTTCAGTTTCCTCTTCTTGTTTTTGCTGATGGCGGGGCCGTCTGCGTGCCGCGGCTGCAGCCTTTCTTCTAACAGGCTCTGCTGCTTCTCTAATTCCGCCTCTTCTACGTGAACGCTGCTGGGACGTCTAATTTTTTTCTTTGATTTATGCTTCCTAATTCTTCTTCTCTTCGGTTGATCATGAGGATCCCGATCTATAAAACACGAGTTCAAGTCAACAATTTTCTGCATGATGAACCACAACAAGCATGTTAAACACAGTTCCCATTAGGACCTTGTAATTTTAGCAGAACAGGAATTAAAAACATTTAATTCTCAACTGTATCTCAACTGATTACACCACCCAGGATTCTGAGACGTACAATGAGGCTAATTAACAGTCGTCTTGTTCTTAGAGAAGGCCTGTCAGACCTGCACCGAGGGACAGACACCTGTTCAGAGGGCTGGGGCTTAGCCGATGGGCCAGCCCCTCCGGCCGGAGCGCAGCTTCCCTTTCCTGGCCGAGTCCCTGGCGGAGCGAAACCTGGGAGGCGGGAGGCGGGAAGTCTCCGGAGCAGGAGAGGGCCTGGCCCCGGCCGCTCACAGCTGTGCTGTGTCACCTTTGAGCTGTTTTGCACTGAATAAAGTTTCCTTCTTCACCCCAAAGGCCATCGGTTGAAAAGATATGTACACAGTTAATGCAATCGTGACGTACAGTGTGGTTTTAAGGATGCAGTTGCTGCAGTTTTGTGGGGAGTAAACTTCATTCCTACGGCCACCCACACCATCAACAATGCGCTGTACCACCAGCACCCGCGGCGGGAACAGTGGGTGTGAGCCCCTGCTGCGCCTCGGCTCCCGCTCTGGGCCTGGGCCCACCAAGTCCACCACCTGGAGCAGCGTGGCTGCAGCGCTCTGCTGTGGCCTGGGCTGTGACCCGGCCTGATGGGCATGGGGATGGGGGGGGGGGGAGAGCCACGCCCTTGCCCTCGCCCTCCTGAGCAAAGCACAGGCCCCGCCCAGTGCCTCCCAAATTCTGTCAGCAGGTTCCAGCAGACTTTAGAGCAGCGGTTCTCAACCTGTGGGTCGCAGCCCCTTTGGGGGTCGAACGACCCTTTCTTTCACAGGGGTTGCCTAAGACCATCGGAGAACACGTATATAATTACATATTGTTTTGTGATTAATCACTATGCTTTAATTATATTCAATGTGTAACAATGAAAATCCATCCTGCATATCAGATATTTACATGACGATTCATAACAGTAGCAAAATTACAGTGATGAAGTAGCAACGAAAATAATTTTATGATTGGGGGTCACCACAACATGAAGAGCTGTATTAAGGGTCGTGGCATTAGGAAGGTTGGGAACCGCTGCTTTAGAGGAAGGTCACTGCCGTGGCCGGCAGGTGGCGCTGTCCCCACGAGGCCGTGGTGCCCTCAGATCTTCTGAATGGGGACTGGACAGCCGCACAGCCGCTCAGCCCGGAGGGGACACACCGAGCCTCACAGGATCAACCTGGAATCTTTATTCCTATAGTTTCTGCCCTTCAAAGGCCCTGCCCTCAAACACAGGCTCCTCCAGCCACTGCCCAGGCGCTGACCTCCCTGGCATCCCTCCCTCCGGCCGGAGCACGGGAGGTCACACTGCCCCAGGTGCTCCAGCACCCAGACCCCCTCGTCCTCCCGGCCTGTCACCTGCCTGGGACCTGCAGCCACAAGCGAAGCTACTGGAAGTTTACTCAGGGAGCCAGAGGCCTGGCTATTTATAACCTGAGGAGCTCACTCATTCTGAAAAGCTGCCATCCCCAAACATACCTTTCCTCGCACACGTGCTAATTTTAAAAATACCCGCAGTTTGTCAGAAGTCTCTCTGCCACTGTTTGGCACCCACGCCTGATGAGGCTGTAGTGGAAACAGACCCCGAAATAGCCGCCCTGCAGCTGCACTGTCACGTGGACGCGGCGCAGCGACTTAAAGGAAGAGCTTTATTCCGGATTCAGCGCTAAGGCTACCAAGGCACGTGGCAGGTCCCTCAGCCTCCAGGTGCTCCAGGGGCCAGTAACAGCAGGAACTGACGTCCACCTTGATCGAAACCACGTGTGCCAAGTCAGTTGTTAACTATAATGACAATCTATTGCCTTCCTACAACTCAGCACGTTCTGTCCTAACGCATCCTGTCACAGGCCCTTAGCGAGGTCAGATGGGCCCACAGACCGGGCCCATCTGGAGGCACAGGTGTGGGAGGAGGGCGAGTGGGGCAGCGCCGAGGACTGAACCTTCTCCCTGAGTGGCTCTGGCGACGGCGCTTGCAGGCAAGGACCACGCTTGGAGCGGAGACTTGACCTTTTTATTTTTTAAATATATTTTTTATGAATTTCAGAGAAGAAGGGAGAGGGGGAGGAAGACAGAAACATTGGTGATGAGAGAGAATCATTGGTCGGCTGCCTCCTGCAGGCCCCACCCTGGGGATGTCAAGAACATGTGCCCTTGATGGGAATCGAATCTGGGACCCTTCAGCCTGCAGGCCGGCGCTCCATCCACTGGGCCGATCCATCGGGCTGGACAAGATGCTGCCTTTCGGAGAAACCAAGATGGCAGCATAGGTAACACCTGAAATCGCTGCCTCGCACAACCATTTCAAAAATACAACTAAAAGACAAAACGGACATCATCCAGAACCACAGGAAGGCTGGCCGAGTGGAATTCTACAACTAGAAGGAAAGAGCAAAGCACACTGAGACTCAGAGGAGGTGCGGAAGTAAAGGGCAGAGGTACGGAGGCACGCGGGCGGAAAGGGCTGGCAACTGAGGATGTGGTTGTCTTTTTGAATCAGGAGGGAGACACAAGCTCCCAACTGCTCTGAACTCCGGTTCCGGGAAGTCTCTGGGGACCCAGGACTCATACGGGGAGAAACTGGACTGTCTGGCATCGGGCAGAACTCGAGGGCGGCTTTCTCTCAGAGGTGCTTGCAGCGATTACAACCACGACAGAGGGCAGAGGGCAGGCCCACGTCTGCTGGAGGCTGGGGAGGGAGCTAAGAACGATTTGGAGAAGGAGGGAGGCCCCACTGAGGCGAGGAGGGAGCCGAGGGTGGTGGGGAGGGCCGGCCTCAGGAACTGAGGATGGACGTGAGGTCCACACAGGACAAAGGGTGGGAGCCGGGCGGCAGGCCCGTGGGGCTCAGTGCAGCTGAGGACAGTGAAAGGGCGGGAGCCCCAGGCACGGCCCGCAGGAGGCGGACTCAGGAGGGACCTGAATTCACAGCGGTGGCCATGGAAGGCACATGAGTGACAAGAGAAGGGCCAAAGGGACACGGGGCCCCGTGACCAACCGCCAGGGAGGCGCCTGCACTGACCCCACTTCGGACGGGGAAGGAGAAAGTGGCTGGAGGACAAGACCCGCGCGTGGGGAACCTCTGCGCTGCGACGGGAAATGGCCGTCTCTTGCACGAAGGTCCGTCCTGCAGGAAGGATCACCCACCCCAAGGCTGGCGGGTGGCCAGTGAGAAACGGGGTCTGAGAGGTGAGCCAGGCGCAGAGTCGAGGCCGTGTGCGCGCGGGAACTTGGTCTGCTATGGAGTGTTTATAAACAGCATCGGGAAAGGAACAGCTGCTTCAAGAGAAGGCACAGGATAAAGGGCAGCGCTGTTTTAAAGGGTGGGTCTGCCTTCTAAGGAAATGCATTGAGAGGGACTGGAAGCCACGTAGAGCCTGGAACAGGAGGCCCAGGGCCCTCGCCGCTCCGGCGGCTCCCCCTCCGCCTCCCCAACTCAGCCGGCTGCCCAGCCCATGGGGAGCCTTGCCTCCCAGGTTTGTTCTATTTTAAGGAAATTAGCTCATCGACCAGGGAATGTGCAAGTATCACTTCCCACCTTGCTCCTTTGTTTTCAACCCCGTTTACTGTGCCTTTTGCCATGGAAAAGTGTGAAGAGCTCCACAGTGAAGCCTGTGTGAGAAGCTCTTAGGCTCATGTGCACTCCTCACATCACAGGGGACAGGCATGTTCCCCAGCCATCGGCTAAAACGTAAGAGACTGGCGGTGTCACTGCTGGAAAGCGCACTTCCTCGCCCCGCCTCCGGGGGCGCACTCGCTCGAGTGCCCAAAGAGCCTGTCAACAGCCCGCATCCAGGGGCAGAGCTGCCGCGTGGGGCGCTCAGCTTCCCATCCGAGACCCACCTCTGACCGCACAGTGACGCACAGGCACTCACTGAGGCACCTCAGAAACTTCTGGATGCTTTCAACTGGGCAGGGGGACTAGTTGTTAACAAGCTGGTTTCATAAAATAGGTCCCAGCTGTTTTAAAAAGGGGTATCAATACATCTCTATGCACCGAAAGGGAACAGCTGCATAACACTGAGAGCAACATCCAGTTACAACACCGGCCGCGACCCAGGGGCAATCTCTAAGTCTGTGTTCCACACGCATGGGGAGGCGTGCATGCTTATACCACACGCATGGGGAGGCGTGCATGCTGTGTACCACATGCATGGGGAGGCATGCATGCTGTGTATCACACACATGGGGAGGCGTGCATGCTATGTACCACACGCATGGGGAGGCATGTATGCTGTGTACCACACGCATGGGGAGGCGTGCATGCTGTGTACCACACGCATGGGGAGGCATGTATGCTGTGTACCACACGCATGGGGAGGCGTGCATGCTGTGTATCACACGCATGGGAGGCGTGCATGCTGTGTACCACATGCATGGGGAGGCGTGCATGCTGTGTACCACACACATGGGGAGGCGTGCATGCTATGTACCACACGCATGGGGAGGCATGTATGCTGTGTACCACACGCATGGGGAGGCGTGCATGCTGTGTACCACACGCATGGGGAGGCGTGCATGCTGTGTACCACACGCATGGGGAGGCGTGCATGCTGTGTACCACACGCATGGGGAGGCGTGCATGCTGTGTACCACACGCATGGGGAGGCGTGCATGCTGTGTACCACACGCATGGGGAGGCGTGCATGCTGTGTACCACACGCATGGGGAGGCGTGCATGCTGTGTACCACACGCATGGGGAGGCGTGCATGCTGTGTACCACACGCATGGGGAGGCGTGCATGCTGTGTACCACACGCATGGGGAGGCGTGCATGCTGTGTACCACACGCATGGGGAGGCGTGCATGCTGTGTACCACACACATGGGGAGGCGTGCATGCTATGTACCACACGCATGGGGAGGCATGTATGCTGTGTACCACACACATGGGGAGGCGTGCACACTGTGTACAACACGCATGGGGAGGCGTGCACACTGTGTCCAAAATGCACGGGAGGCATGTACAGGACCTGAGCTGCCTTGGGCTGTGGGCCTCTGGGGACATGTTCCATCTTGTCATCGTCTATAAAACGGGACTTTTCAAAAATAACATTGCTGTTGGAAGAAAAACTTCTTTTCATTTTAGAAAAATAACCCTCAGGATGTGTCCACCATCTGCTGTGGCCCCGACTTCTGTCCTGAGCTGTGGAATCTGCCTGTGGAGGGAAATGGGCCGGCTCCCCCGGGAGAGAAGACACCACCCTGAAGGCTCATGCTGACGGCCCCACGCACCCGGCAACACAGGAAGAAATCAATTAACAGAAGGTTTTGCCTCACAAACAGCTTATAAAAATGTAACTTGTAATAATGGTGTAGTCAAAAGTTACCACTAACGCTGCCAGGTTACTATGGCAACTTAAATGGAATAGATGGTACTCAATTCCCCTTTTCTTTACCTTTTAGAGAAATCGTCTGCTCTAATACCCACTGTCAGAGCAGAAGCCGGCACCAGGCCCACCCCAGCCACCAGCCCCCTTCCCGGAGGCGGCGGTGCCTGGCCCTGGAACAGGAAGCATGATGGCTGGTAGGGGTTGGAGCACACGTCTTATAGGAGATCCATGTGTCCAGTTGGTACCGTCATCGTCCCGTTTCCTACGAGGCCGTCGCTCTAGCTCAGTCCGGGGAGCAGGCTGGGACGGGGCGCTGGTCTGGGACAGCTGGCGCGGTCTCAGCCGGGGCCCTGCACACCTGCCCTTGGGCCGACACCTGCTCACCGAAGCCATTTATCCTCATAAAACAGCGCAGTGTGGTGCGGCATCATCTATTTACCTAATAATTATATTCTAAAGATTTTCAACCAGGCCCGGAAAGATGACTCTGTGACTCCCTGGCGACTCCATTTTCGGTTTTGTGGTTTCTGAGCCTTTAATTGGGAAGTCAGGAAGATCAATGAGCTAGAAAACCACATTTTAAATACTCAAGCTAATTAAGGCCCAAGCAGTTTCCAGCTTCCACCTGGTGAAAACCAGCTGGATTAGGTTTTGTTTGAAAACACCCATTCCTCTAGTAGCGGTTCTCAACCTGTGGGTCGCGACCCCTTTGGGGGTTGAACGACCCTTTCACAGGGGTCGCTGAAGACCATCGGAAAACACATACATAATTACATACTGTTTTTGTGATTAATCACTATGCTTTAATTATGTTCAATTTGTAACAATGAAATTGGGGGTCACCACAACATGAGGAACTGTATTAAAGGGTCGCGGCATTAGGAAGGTTGAGAACCACTGCTCTACAGGAAGTCTGGATGATGACTCAGAGGAAAAGCTACCCTTTCGCTTCTCAGGTAGACAATTCCTGGGCAGCATCCGCCTGCGACCGGAGACCAGGCAGCGAAAGCAGAGCAGACAGAGGAATTCCATTTTCCCCCAAGATGCAAGCCACACTGCTCCCTGAGGACAGAGCGGACATGCCAGCCCAGACCTTGTCAGGTGTCGGAGAAGCAAGAAAAAAGTGAGAGGAAACCAAGACGGTAGTGACACAGATGCATTAACACGAGGTCTCCTTCCGCGTTCACAGATGCAGCTAAGATCACACCGCAAAGGGCTGCAAACCTCGCCTGCCCACCGTGGCTGTGCGGGGACAGGCTCACCCCTAACGATGAACTTAGATGAAATCAATGCCCCAAACCGGATGATCGGAAAGCATGCTTTCTCACCTGCCACGCCCTCGCTGCTGGAGGAGCCCTCGGAATCCGTGCAGCTGGGGGGCGGGGGCGGGGGCTCAGGCTCGGGCTCCGGCTGGGCAGGGGCAGCAACAGGAACATAGCCCTCAGGAGGCAAAGCCACAGTGTAGAGCCGCCGGCCAGGCGGGGGCCCAGTGCCGCCACCTGCAGGAGGACACAACAGGGGTCATCGCACTGACCTCCAAACCCTTCCCTGGGAGCCCCACAGCAGTGAGCTCCATCCAGCTCAGTGCTGCACGCTCCCCCCCCCCCCCCCCCCCCCCCCCACTGCGGGAGGGAGTCGGCGACCCACGCGGCCAGGAAAGGCACGCTCAATGATCATTTACATTCACATCAGGTCACTTACTATGTCAACGTCCAGGCTCTTATGACATAAAGACATAACTAATTAATGAGTAGGAAGCAGAAAATACTCCACAGAACACACCCATCCTTATCACATGAGTCTCAACATTTTGGTGGCATAATCTTCTGGACCTTCATGGACGCTAACAACCCATATACACAGTGCATGTGCGTGTGTGTGCGTGTGTACACAGACACAGACACACATGCAGATACATGGGATCATGCGCACATTTTATTATAAAACATTTATATATCATACGCTTGAATGATACTGTATATATATATTATACATACAATATCATTCAAAAGTGAATGTTATAAATTATATTTAAATCTACAGTCTTTTTTTCAAGAAAAAAAAAGATTTTAAATATAATAATACTAGAGGCCCAGTGCACAAAATTTGTGCCCTCAGGTGGGGGGGGCCCTCAGCCCGGCCTGTGCCCTCTCACAGGCCAGGAGCCCTTAGGGCAGTGATGGCGAACCTATGACACGTGTGTCAGAGGTGACACATGAACCCATTTTTTTGGTTGATTTTTCTTTGTTAAATGGCATTTAAATATATAAAATAAATATCAAAAATATAAGTCTTTGTTTTACTATGGTTGCAAATATCAAAAAATTTGTATATGTGACACGGCACCAGAGTTAAGTTAGGGTTTTTCAAAATGCTGACACACCGAGCTCAAAAGGTTCGCCATCATTGCCTTAGGGATGTCTGACTGACGACTTAGGCCCACTCCCCGAGCCTAAGCCGGCAGTCGGACATCCTTAGCACTGCTGTGGAGGCGGGAGAGGCTCATGCCACCACTGCTGCACTCACTAGCGGTGAGCCCAGCTTCTGGCTGAGCAGCACTCCTGCTGTGGGAGCACACTGACCACCAGGGCGCAGCTCCTGCACTGAGCGTCTGCCCCCTGGTGGTCAGTGCCCAAATGAATATTTAAAATAGTTGAATAGAATTTTGTATTTTTTATTTTTAAAAAAATCTTTATTGTCTAAAGTATTAAATATAGCATTACATATGTCTCCTTTTTCCCCCCATTGGCCACCCCCACTCCCCAGCACATGCCCTCACTCCTCTAGTATCTGTGTTCATTAGTTATGCTTATATGTATGCATACAAGTCCTTTGGTTGATCTCTTACCCCACCATCCGTTCCCTGCCTTCCCTCTGAAGATTGATGGACAGTTTGATGCTTCTCTGTCTTTGGATCTATTTTTGTTCATCAATTCATGTTGTTCATTATATTCCACAAATGAGTGAGATCATGTGATATTTATCTTTCTCCAACTGGCTTATTTCACTTAACATAATGCTCTCCAAGTCCATCCATGCTGTTGCAAATGGTAGGAGTTCCTTCTTTTTTACAGCAGCATAGTATTCCATTGTGTAGATGTACCAGTTTTTTAACCCACTCAACTGCTGATGGGCATTTAGGCTGTTTCCAAATCTTAGCTATTGTAAATTGTGCTGCTATGAAAATAGGAATCAATCCTTTCTGATTGGTGTTTCTGATTTCTTGGGATATATTCCTAGAAGTGGGATTACTGGGTCAAATGGCAGTTCCATTTTTAATTTTTTGAAGAAACTCCATACTGTTTTCCACAGTGGCTGCAGCAGTCTGCATTCCCACCAGCAATGCAAGAGGGTTCCTTTCTTCACATCCTCGCCAGCACTTGTCATTTGTTGTTTTGTTGACGTATCCATTCTGAGGTGTAAGATGGTACCTCATTGTCCTTTTGTAAATCTACAATCTTTCAATAGCTTCATAATAATCCATGGAATTGGCAAATTGTATCTTAACCACTGTTTTAAAGTTTATACACGGAGGCCGATTCTAAATTTCTGTCAGAAATGGCTGGTGACCACCCTTGCTGTGGGCAGCTTCCCACACGTTTCTGAATGTCTGCACGTCCTGGGCCTGGCGCCAGCTGGGAGGGCACCACCATGCCCGCCCAACTTAATACCGACCAGCCTCTCTCCTCATGGGCCCGCCCTGGCGCCCAGCCCGAGGGTCTTCATAGCGGCCATGCTCAGGCTGTGCCTGTGCACCCTGCCCGCCTTCCTGCAGGGGGTGCACCTGGAAGAGGGACAGGCCTGGGCCGGGCGGCTGTGTGGCTGTGCAGGGGCAGAGCCGCCCTCCGGCCTGGTGAGCTCATCCCCCCCAAGTCGCTGTTGGTCATGGTTTTTACGCCTGCTGGCTTCCCAGGCCAGGCTTCTCATCAAGTTCTCCTCTCCAGTCCAAATCCCAGAGCGTGCAAACACAGTGCCTTCTCCAACCTCCACACAAACGCAGCAAGCCCCTGGCTCCCCTCCCCGTGCACCCATCCGTGCCCTTTGCCCTGACTCCGGTCCCGCTGGGCCCCACCCCACAAGCCTCTGGTCACAGAGGCTTCCAAGTTTCGCCGAACACAATAAGTCATGACTTCTTCGTCAGTTAGCAGTTCTGTTACCAAGACTTAAAAAGATCCCTTCCTGCCTCGCTGCTTCCTCCACTATCTCATACCTCCTCTCGAGGCTCCTTTTTTGCTTCTGTGAAACATGCTTTATTGTTCTCTCAGTGAGGTGTGTGGGTGGTGAGATCCCTTAAGCTTTGTAAAATGAACACAACTTTAGAGGATTCTATTTATTATATGCTAATAGGTGCTACAACCACCGGCGCTAGGTAAACGCAGGACGTGCGGGGACGCCGCCCCCTCCGAGAGGCAGCTCCCGCGGTCATGTCCTCCTGCATTTGTTCCTCAGGCGACTCATGTGCGTGCCAACAACACACGCCATTCCCCTCTCCCGGACCCCGTGGCCAGTGTCTCCATGCTGCTGCCACTCCTGGCATCACCCGGCGCTGCCCCTTCCCCGGGACAAGGCTGCTCTTCTCCTGCGAACGGACATGCAGACTCCCGCCACGCTCCTGCTGCTCTGAGCGATGATGTCATGAATAACTTGAACACGCCTGTTCCCGGCCCTGGTAAAATGGCTCAGGTGTGACTGCCGAGCCCTGGTGAGCACCTGTAACCTTTCATGGGTTCCCACGGCCTTTCATGGACGGGCCGCAGCGATTCTCCCCACAGCCAGGCCGAGCGCTTGCCCGCCCTTCCTAACACGTGTCAGCAAATTCCCGACAGTCTTCACGTGGGCCTCGCGGTGCCAGCAGAGGGAGCCTGGCGTGATGCTGAAGAGCCACGTGGATTTTCTCCGTGACGCCCGCCACTCTCCTGTGCCCGTGTCTCTTTGGAGCTGTGGCTCATGTTCTTACTGGCACACGAGCTCTTGATTCACGACGGAAGGGAACCCTCACCCAGGCCCGAGCTGCCACATCTTTTCCGGCTGCCTGTTTGCCTTCCGACTTCGCTGCGGGCAGGGTTTTAGTCCTCACGAGGTGCAGTTGCAGTCTCCTGCCCTGTGCTCCGCTGCTGTCCGAAGACCCTCAGGGCAGAGCTCCCAGCTTCCCCCGGTCCCCGACAGTTTCAACACTTTAGAGTGAAACCCGGCCTCGTCTTGAGAGAAAGCGTGGCTCGGAGTATTTCTCCCAGAGACGGCGCAGCCGTCCCTCCGTGTCTGTGGCACGTCCAACACGCTCACCGTCCGGGCCATGTTCCAGACCTGAGCGCCCCACCCCTGGCCCCGGCCTCAGGGCCCGAGGCTCCACACGGACGTGGGACGGAGAACTGAGCTCCTAGCTGACAACCCACGTCCCGGGGCCCCAACAACAGACATCCCTCTGTCCCGGCCGGAAGTGGAGACCAGGCCTCTCCTGGGGGTGCAGACGGCTGTCTCCCCCGTGTCCTCACAGGGTCGCCCCTACGTGTGCATTTCGTGTGAGTTTCCAAAGACACAATTCAGCCCCCAACAGGCACATTCTGTGAAGAGTGAGAACCAGTCCCCAGCCCTCGTCCCTCCCGCAGGGCTGGCCGGCGGTCCTGTCCATCCAACCAGTTTGCAGACAGACGGCCGTGGTGGAGCCAGGTGTGCGTCTGTGACTCCCCGTGACCTACGAGCCCCTCACCTGCCAACGGGGGGACGCGCCGGCATCGCTCTTTCTCGGGAGGGGTTTCGGAGGCCGCAGGCAGACGTGCCCTCTTTTCTTGGCCATGTGGATCCTGAGGAAAAAGTCTCTTCAGCACTTTTTCAACAAACACTAAAATGCAACCAATTAACAAAAACAAAAAAAGAGAATTACTTAAAGCAGTTTTATTTAAATTGCATATAGAGTTTACTTAAAACAAAGACATATTCTAATATTAACACCAGAAAGAAAGGTGACTGTCATTACAGGACCCCAGCCCTGTCCCCACGGACCCCCAGCCCTGTCCCCAGGGGACCTCGAGCCCTGTCCCCCCAGGACTCCAGCCCTGTCCCCATAGGACCCCCAGCCCTGTCCCCATAGGACCCCCAGCCCTGTCCCCATAGGACCCCCAGGTGTCTGGACAGGACAGGAGGCCCATGAAGAGGTGGCAGGGGCGCTGTGCTGGGTCATTCACTCTGCAGTTAACTGTGCAGTCACCCGGGCCAGCACCTGCGA